CTATCATTCCTGTTTTGGTTTTCAGTTAATGACTGTGTGTAATTATACTCAAATAGAATATTTATAAATAATTATATATTATTAGTGGCATGTAAAATTTGGAATTCAGGAACATTAGTGTTGATGAAAGATACCCTTCAATTTGTGAAGTGTTGGTCTTCGTATTATTGTCTGTTTCTGTTTAAAGGATATTAGTGACCAAGAATTGGCAATTCTCTTTTGTAGATGTTTTTCCAAAGGAAGACTCAGGATTTTTTTCCACTTTTTATTTTTATTTTTTAATAATAGGATATTTGCTTGGCAAATCTCTAGGGGATATGTTATAGATCCACATCTGGAGAGTTCTCTGAGGAAAATAAATGTTATTTTCTAAAATTTCAAGAAGCAATTAGGTATCCTTGAGCTGTGCAAGGTCTTCAGGGGGTCATCAAGCTCAACTCCAAACCAGACAGTAACTGTGGCATCTCCCCCTCCTCCGATTAGTGACTGAATTGGGGTTTTTACCAGTGTCTGTAATTCAAATATTGCCAGTACTTAAGTTTCAGATGCAATTTGCCATTTCTCATTGTCTGTCCCCCACATGTGAAGGTGCAAACACAAAACTGCCTTAAAGTGAGAGATCTAATTCTCAGAGGACAGCAGCCTGCAGAAGCAGCATCTAGGGGCTTTCTTTCCTTGATGGGTTCAGGAAGCCGAAGCAAAGGGTAGACAGGGAACAAGCAGATGGAGCTGGGTAAGTGCTGAGTTTTGGAAGGACTCCAGGTAAGGGAAGAGCCAGAGAGCATTCTGAGTCTTGGGAGACAGATGTACCATGACCTTTCTCTCTGAGGTCACCTGATTCTAGAAGCCTGTTAACTAAAGATACACCGGCAATAGATTTTGTTTTGAGTCCTTGGTTAAATTGATGTGAGCCTTTTAATTCCTCCTATAAAATAGGTTGAGAAGCAGTATTCACAGGAAGGGTGCAAATGGCACATCAGGTTTTCTCAGAGCTTGGTTTTGATTTAGATCATAACCATGACCATGCATTATGTATACATTGATGGAGCATAAGGAAATTTGAAAATGTGCTAAATAACTGACCTAAATACTCCCAAAGTTGGCTCGATATGTGTATTTTGGAAGCTTTTGAATATGAAAGCACTTTTTAAAAACATAAACTCTTCTGCATTCAGTGTTAAGGTGCCACGGCTACCCCGTCGTGTACTGTAAATGCATTAGAGCTTACAGAAGTCAGCCAAAAGCACGCTAAAATGATGCCACAAGATTCTAGTTTTCCTTTGTTTTAGATTTTTGTTTCACCATTATTTGCTTGTAAATAAAAATTGCACATCTACTAATTCAATATCTAGAAACCTTAAAGTGTGACAAACGTTGATGTAGAGCTGTTTAAAAGACTGAGTTCTAGATCTCCTACATATCACCATTTGGAACGGTCTTTGCTAAACCACTTCTCTTCCTGGACTTGAGTTTTCATTGTGGTCACAGAGGAGGACTGAGATCCCGCGCATCTTTTCTCCCGCGATTGTATGACTTCTTTTCTTCCGCGTGCCTTGGCTTGTGCGCACTTGTTTCCGAGGGCAGATTTAAGGGCTGTATTTTAGCTTTTCACCATACGTTCACGTCTCTCAGCAGTGTTTTTGCGTGAGGCCTCTTCCTCGAGCTTGGCTTCTCCCGGTGCCCTGGCACCTTGCCCACGCCTTGCTCCTGCCCATTTGCCTGCCGCGTCTGTGGTCCGGCTTCTCAGCTTCTGCAATCCCTTCCCCTTTCTCTCTTCCTTCCACCCATCCTCTCTCTCTCCCTCTCCTCCTTCCTCTGTTTCTTCCTTCCCTTCTTCCCTCTCCTTCCTTCTCTGGCTGCCTCCCTCCATCCCTCCTTCTCTGTCTCTGCATCTGCCCCTCTATCCACCTTCCTTCCTACCTTAGTTTTCTTTCTCCTCAGCTTCCCAGCTGCCGGTTTGCACCACCTGCCCGGGCATGATTCTTCGCAGCACCCCTACCATCCCTTAAAGCTGATTCAGACCATGTCTTTGTCGTGTCTCAAACTTTCTAGTGCTTCACTACTGCCCCTTGAGATGGAATTTGATTCCTGCCACAGGGCCTTTATACTTGCTATTCATTCTGATATGAACACTATTTTTCCTGTATCTTTGCACAACTGCCTTCTTTTGTTTTACTGAATGAAAAATTGCTTGAAAATTTTTTATTACTACATATTTGCAGCACATATTGTAAATTATTTGTGTGGATTTGGTGCATGCACACAACAAATCTCAATTCCTTTTTTATCCCTTTTTCCTCTCTTTTCTCCGTCTCTAGGACCCCTTCCCCTAAAAGAAAAATCTACCCCCTAGTTACCATTAATCTTTATTTTACTCTTCAACAGATTGTGGCTTAAATATTAAGTTTTCAGAGAGGACTCTTCTCACTTGATCACCTTGTCTAAAATAGTCACATCTTTTGCTTAATATTTGACACATTGCTCAGTTTTACTCATTGTAGAGCACATAGAACCTGAAATTATCTTGTCCATTTATCATTTTTATTATTACTGTTGTCTGTTTCATCCTGAAGCTTGTACCTTCACAGGATTAGGGGATATTTAGCTTTGTTTATTGCAGATCCTTGGCATCTAGAACAGCGTCTGGCACAAAATAGTTGCTCAACGACTGTTTGTAGAGATGGACATGGGGGCACAAGCCTGTAATCCTCAGGAGCCTGAGGCAGGAGGATCACCTCAAGTTTGAGGCCAGCCTGGACTACACAGTGACTTCAAAACCAGCCTGCACTACAAAGCAAGATACTGTCACAAAAAATAAAGAACAAAAAAGAGAGGGAAGAGTTGATAGAATAAATGAAGTAACAATCAGTAAATGGAGGGATGTCACAGTCAAGAAAACTGCACCCCAGTGAGCATATTGTAATATAACCAAGAAGTAAGGCACAGACTACAGTTCAGGCCGTTGGTATATTTTTTTCCTCCTGGTCATACACAGACAGATATAACTTATTCATTCACCCTTTTATTTATCTACCAAGTACTTACTGAGCTTTTGTTATGTTTCAGACAGTACCAGTTATTCTCAGTCAGGTGTGAGATTGTTCCCTGGGATCCTGTGTCAACACCTAGAGCCATTACGATTGTTGAAAGGGAGACAGGGCCCTACCAGCACCTGGAGAAGAGCAGCCAGAGATGCTAACCTCCCGAGCAGTATATATCATACAGAAAGAACCTGCACACTGTGTCAGAAAGTGGTATCCTGGAAAAGAATAGAGATGTGGAACAGAGTTGGAGGAGCAGGTGCAGTGGACTGTGATGTCGGTAGCATGGGCTATAATTTTAGCCTCCTCGGGAGGCAAATCATGAAAGGAAATTTTACCTCTGGAGGTTAGCTTCATGACCTGGAAATGACCAGTCCTTTGGGGCCAGCTCTGTGCTGCAGAGCATTGTACTGCTCATCTTCAGGAATCATCCTCACATTAAAAAATGAATAAAATCCTTCCGAGCCAAGGGACATCTTAACCTCCAAATAAAAATAGAACAAACTGCCATGGGCTAGAAATAATAATTATTTTCTGCCCCTTTTCAGGAGTGTTGAAATGCTCCTCTTTCTTGACACTTTAGTGCTCTGTCTTCACTAATGCAGGACAGTGTTAATTTGATGCAGTTTTTATTGCTCACTGTCAGCTTCTCACTTTTTTCTTCAAGTAAAAATAGTGTGATTCAATCCTTCTCAACAGCATTGTGAGTTTTGTTGGTTGTGCAGAGATTTCCCTGTCTGTCTAGGTTGATTTCTTAAATGCAACAGAAGCAATTGCAGATTTTAATATCTTGGGGAAGCTGTGGTAGTTGAAGCTGATAAAATTCAGGCCAGTGTAGATCCGAACATACATGCATTCATGCAAGCACCCATCCACCCACAAGTCCATACGTTTGTATGCATATGGATACATAGATATGCATTTAAAATTTTACTAAAATTACTAAAATTGTTGTTTGCCTAATTTTATAGGCATGTACTTATTTTCTTGATCTTTTTGTTTCCTACTATTTTTTTAAGCAAAAAAATGAGTATAGGTGTTTAATAAGTAAAATAAATTAAAATCCTACTCTAAACACTCTTATTCAATTAGTTAAAACTTCCTCTTTGGATTCCTTTGTGTCTTTTTCTGACTGTCTCACTGTGCATTCTCCACACATTCTTCTATACCAACTTATTCATTGCCAGAATAGGAAGATACTCAGTAACATAATGGTATCCTCAAGTATGGAGAGCACCGTTGATGATGAATCTCCTACACACTGTGCTGAGTCCCAGAGCCAGACACAAGCGGCTACACATTATATGCTTCTATTTATCTGGCATCCTAAAAGAGCCAAAGTGGTAGAGATGAGGTCAGAAAAGTATTGCTATGGACCAGGAGTTAGGAGAGACGTTAACATAAAGGGGCACTGACAGATTGGGGGTGGAGGGTGATGCTGTTTACTGAGCATCGGCACCTAGTAAGTACTCAACAAATGTTTGTCAAATGAATAAACAAATTATAAAAAGCAGCTTAGATGACTGAATTCCACCCTGTTTTTCCACATTTGCACAAACTTATTTATGTCACTGAAACATAATTTGGTTATATAGTATAGTATCTAGTATAGTGGTATGGTCTTATGGTGTTATCATTGTAACATATTCATTTCTAAATCTGTGCTTTTTACTTATTTATTTTTTTTGCAGAGGATAGGGCTTGAGCCATAGGATTTGTGAAGCCAGGAAGAATGAAATTTTTAACAGTTGATACGTTTCTCATATACCTTAGACTTAGGCAAGGATTACCAAGCAAGGGAATAGGATTCAAAGAACATTCTTGACTTAAACACATTTAACTTGATAATGTTTAAGGGATTGTACGCAGAGTAACATTGCATTCTGGGTGTCGTTTTATTATGCCTAAGAACTTATTGACCGCTTCATTGGATGTGTGGCCACATTTTGTTTCCTCCAGTGCTATTTCTTCACAATCGAGTTCGGCCTTTGTAAGCAAGAAGGACAGCTGCGAGCCTATGGAGCAGGACTGCTGTCCTCCATCGGAGAATTAAAGGTACGAAGCTGTGAATGAAAATATCCTTCCTGAGCAAACTGGTTCAAGGTCATGGGAAACTATTGATTTCTTTGTCCAGGCACTTCTTCTCACACATACCCCATACATATTTCATGGGGAGGACTTGGCACCTCAGATGTGGACGCTGACCTGACTTTTTTCACTTTTGAAAATGGGTCATGCCTTTCTGATTTTGTAGTGTGACTCAAATGGATGAGCAGCCATGTGCACAAATCAACAGGAATGACAAATGTATGCTCCAAGTTAGGTAACAAATGGGTGCCCTAAATTTAGTGCTGAATAGGGACGTGAAGCTAGCAGGGATCCTACTGATTGGAATTTACTTGTGGGGATGGTGGGGACCCTCTTGATCTCTGTCACCTTCATAGCTCCCATTGATTTCCTAGCAGCTACCTCCCAAAGGGAAGTGTGAGGTTGTTTCAACTTCTTCAAAATTCATGCATATTAAGCCAGTCGTGAACATACAAAATTTGAAAAAAACAAGCTAAATAAGTACATTGTCAAAGAGAGATCTAATGTATATGTTAATCATACCTAGAAAAAGTTATATTTTTTGCCTTAAAGTATAGTAAAATCACCATTTATTAAAAAATGACTGTCACCTTTAGTAATTTTAATATTCTGGTAATTTAAGAATTTTTATCTATACTCCACTAGAGAATGGAAAATTCTTGATGAATTTAGAATGCAGTGTGAGAATCAATCTAGAAATGGCACTGAAAATACTTTAATCTTTTTTGATTAGTTAGGATATGATCAGGATTATGGATTATTCTAGGGTTTTTATGTTGAGCCTTGATTATCCTTACATAATATAATTGGTAAGTATATTGTTATTGGAACTTTCTCATTGTTCTTGAAAGATGCAATTGCACTGTAATTTCATTGCTTGTTTTCTGACTCCATTTATGTATTTGCTCATGCCTCAAAAATGTGAGCACTTAAAATGTGCCATGTACTGTGCCAGACACTGGGGATGAAAAGAGAAATGGTAATGAGAAAGAATAAGAATAAAATAACAAAGCCTTAATAAAGTCTTAATATATCTTAATAAAGTTTTAAACAGACTTTGGAATTTTGGTCCCTGAGACATACTATCCCATTTAATATTCATTAATATCATTATCACAGATGAAAAAATTGAGGCATAAATATGAGAAGGGACTTTTTGAAGGGCACCCAGCTAATAAATCTTGGAGCTAGGCCTGAATGTGGGCAGTCTAGGTCTGCGGACCTGAGCTCTTAACCACTAGGCTATATAGCCTCAGATCGTTGCTATCCAGGAGCTGACGTCTTATGAAAAAGGCAAACACCTACTGGCTAATTAATAGGAAAATGTGACGAATGTGTGTGGTACATGTTAGGCCTCATCTTTTGATGAGAACACTGCTGTTCAAGCTGGTTCTTAAGGGACAAGAAGAATAAATAATGAAGGAATGGGAAGTGTAGGTCAGGGACAGCAGTGTGCCCCCCCTGGGCTCTGGTCCAAGGCTGGCCCATTCAGGGAATGAGCTGAGGCTCAGGATGACGGGAATAGAGAGCGACGGTCAACCCGACAGAAACCTGATGTAATGGGGTACATTTTTAAAAAATAAATTTTCAACCAAAAAATCCACTTGAGTTTATTCTCGGTAAAGTCTACAGTAATAACATGATGTCATATCCCCCTAGGACTGAGCACTCTGTAGAGTGCTTTGATTTCCCTGAAAGGGGGCTTGCCAGAAAGCAATGAAGCTCTTGGGCTACATCTATTTACATTCTCCTCAGGTGGTTTTTACGTTAGACCAGAAACAAATCTCTCTCATGGTCCCCAACTTTTGACAGGGTCTTCTGACTGGTTAATGAGGCATGTGTAGGCAGCACTGGGGTGAATCTGTTGTTTCTGCTCCTGTTTTTATAGACAGAATTGTCTAGAAATGGAAATCAGCCAGGAATATGTATACCGGAGGGGATTGTCCGCGGTGCGTCTCTGGTTCTGGTCCATCACCTCCTATCATTAGCATTCCTCCATTCTCAAATTCCACCACTCCAACATCGCTGTGATTGCTCCTTTATGCCATTGTGTCAATTTTGAAACTCATTCTATGAGAGATACTTCTTATTGTTTGCAGAGAGTTCATAATATCAGAAGATTTCCGTAGCACCATCCTCTGTCCCTTGCCTGTCCAGAGCCCTGTCACAGCTCTTTTGCATTAGTTTCTAACTTTTTAAAAGTACTTTTTTATTTTAAAGAGAACAAAACAAAACAAAACAGAACAAACAGAACAAAGCAGATCGGAACAGAACTACACAAGCAACGCAGTACTTCAAAACAAGAGAACAGGAAATCAACAGTGGCTACCATAATGTCTCTTTTCTTTGAAATAGTTGTCCATACCTTCACAAACAATAAATTCAAATAAAACAAAATAGTATAAAACCAATGAAAACAAAAGAAAGAAAACATTATAGGCCTTCAAAACCAGGCAATAGGAAAATCAACAATGTCTACTCTAATGCTTCTTGTTTTCTTCAAAATAGCTTCTAACTTTCACTTGAATGAATAAGTGATGGGTCTGAATGGGATAACTAACAACATTATCATAATTCCTTTGTGCACATGCTTGCAGTTTGGAATGCAGTTACCTTTTTTTTTTTGGTCTTTTTCGTATTTACCACTACCGGGGATCCAACTCAGGACTGCCTGCTTGCAAGGCAGGCACTTATGCCGCTGAGCTAAATCCCCAGCCCCCGCAGTTACCTTTTATAGTAAAATCTTTTATGCTGTTCCAGTTGCTGCTCTAATGTAGGACCAAGCTAAGTTACCGCGGCTTTGGTATGGCCTTTCTAACTTTTGCAGAAGTGTCCATGATTCATCTTCTCTCCCACAACCCAGTGCACATTCTAAAATTGGTGTTGTAAGAGGTTAAATTTTCTGAGGCATAGATGTTGCTCTTCAGAGTAGACCATGTGCTTCCAATGGGTGTATAATTTGTGTTCCTCTAATTTTGACAATGCTTGTTTTTAATCTTTGAAAACAGAAATCAAACAGATATAGCCAACATAAGTTTGATAACCATAAAAACTCTCCACGGTGGTCTCTTTTTCTTTTGTTTTCATACCTGTTATTGCCGAGAGAGCAGTTAATCATGAGGTACATCATCTGGCAAACTGATGATGAGAACGTTGAAAATCGGGTCATTGACGGCCATTTCCCTGTAAGCTAGCATGTGTCTTTATTACACACCTTGCTTCTCTCTACCGTGGCGCTGATCTAATCATATAAATCTGTCAATTTTTCATCTGTATTTTCTTGATCATTCATTGATTTTATTCAACAAACACAAAGTTCTAAGATTTCAAAGAATATGGAATATAGTTCTAAGAAAGGAATTTATGATGGAGCCTTTTTTGAACTCAGTCCTTTTAGAGAAGCAGCAGTAAAATTTGTCCTCATAAGATGATAAGGAAATGATTGCTAATCCATGAATTATCAGTCTAAAATTTTTATCCCACCAAAACAAAAGCAATTTCTGCTTCTTTTTCATGGATGAAGTAAAGTCTAGTTCTTTATTTCTATCAAACCAGGAATTAGATTTTTTTTCAGTAAGTAGTCTTAGTAATAGTTGCTGGAATATTATATATAAACATATCTGTTGTGCTTTTTAGATTTTGACAAGGCTGGTGCTTTAAACAAATGTAATTATTATTTTTTGCTTTAGTTTTAGGATGTCCTTGGACAGAGAATTTATTGTATTGCCCTTATATGTCCACTAATCAGCATTCTCTGAACAGCTTTCTATTTATTACAATCATTTGTATTTACTACCCCTTCCAGTGATGCTGGGAGGTGGTCAGAATTACTGCTCGGCTGTGCAGAAGAGCCTCAAGAGGCTTGCAGTTGCTCTGAGGTCATCGAGTAGGTCAGCAGTACTGCTGGAGTTAGGATGAATTGCTTCTGAGCCCCCACACATTTGCTCAGATTGTCCAGGCCTCTCTCTTCCCCTTCACTTTCACAAAACCAGCACTGCTAGTAACGACAAAGCAAGAGCTGGAGGACTGGGAGCTGGAAAGTGTTTTCAGCCTATTCAAGGTGCTTCTTGAAGCAGGATGTTCTCTTTCCATGCAGCTTATTCAAACTTGGCACCACTGATTAAAAAATAAGTGTGATGCTTCACTGCCCAAATCGGCAATGGAAATATTGGTGTTGTACATGGCTGAGTATGGGAGAGATGTTCAAAAATTATTATACACTCACACACGTAATGAGTATACACATAAACCAGTGCATAAATTTGTTGTTCTGATGTGGGAAGAGATGATTGCAGTGTGAGTGTATGAGTGTTTGCAAATTCTTATTTGGAATCTAGGGCCCAAACTACCTAGAAACCTGACTTCACACTTGAGTTTTCCCTTCCAACTTTAACTAGTTCTGATTTAGAGAGTGAAGATCACAGGGTTTACATCCAGAATAGCTGAGATAATAACGCTGTGTAATAGCAAAGGCAGGTGTTTGGGAGGCAAGCTGGTGGGCCGGGTAGGTGCTGTTGCAGTCTGTACCTCCTTGTAGCTGGGGCTGTGATTCTTCCTCTGAGGGCTTGAGGCTCTTGCAAGAGAAGGCCTGTATGCTTGGTAAAATCTGTGGCTGGACACATGTGTACACTAAACTTTCTCTCTGAACTGAATTAACAAGGAGAATTAAATCTGTTGAGCACTTTCTCTGCCAGGCACTTAGCATACACTACTTAATTTGATTCTGACTGCAATCACCAGTTATAGATGGACTTAGTCTTCCCATTTTCCAGGTGAAGGATAGACTTGTAGAGGTCAAGTAACTCACCCAACATCACATAGTGAGGAAGGGCAAGAGCCAGATTTGAACCTCAATGCTTTATCTTGAGGACTTGTACTCTGAATCATGTTACAATATTATCTATTAACAGTTGGGTTCTGGGAAATTTTAAGGCTGAAAAGAGGTCTTTACAGTTAAATGACTGGAATGGCAAATAAGTCTTAAAATGTCCACTAAAGTCAGTCAGTTTATAATGGGCTCCTGAATGGGGAAGGACAGCAAGGCCAACCCCAGGGCCAGGGACAAAGGGGGTGTAGTCAATTTATCTTGGCTGATGTGGAACGAGGGAGGGGTATCAGTGCTGCCATGTACAGACTTTATTAATATTGTATTAATGTTGTTTTTCAAGAAGATCTTTACAATTCATGTAGAACAATATTTTAAGTTTATCAAAGAGGAAACTGCAGCCCGATGTGAGGTAGTTTCATCCATTTGATGTCATATATCTAACCTCTGGGAGAGCAGTCTTAAGAGTTCAGATCTCCTGGTCCAGGTCTGTGCTCTTGTCTTTAGCAGGGGCAAATCCAAGCTGGAGTATTCAGATAGGAGACGGTGAATCTCAGGCATTCCTATGTTTCTGAAATGGCATTTGCATAAAAGACTGTCAAACAGATTCTTCCAGCCTTGTAAAACTTCTCTGCTGGAGGTTGGAGTAACTCTTGTAGACTTTAGGATTTCAGATGGCTAACATTTCAGGAAGGATTCATAAGAGTCTCACTGTGGACAGAAAGTATTTTGGGTCAGTGTTTATTGAGAAATCAGTCTAAAGCTGGAGAAGAAGGCACAAGAGGTGCTCCCCAAACTGAGGTAGCTTACCGAGACCCATGGAGAGGAGATGCAAAGCATAACATACGGTTTCTTTATTGAGCCTTGGGAACTTGAGAGATATGGATGCTATTTTATACCCCCTGGGCCATGTGTGGTATAAGAAATAGGAGACCTTGTGGGCAACATGGACATTCCTGGTAGTCATCACCCAAGTCAGCTTATCATCAGGTAAAAGAGACCATTTATAGGTGTAGGTGCCACCTGATTATGGTGTCTCATACTGGCAACCCCTCCAACCCCAGGCTCTTGTCACTCTCCAGGGTAGTCCATGGATACCATTCATAACCTGTACTCATTAATAGACAAGGAGTAGTAATAGTCCCATGGTCTGTGGGTGGAGAAGTCTTCAGCAGATAACCAGAGTGTACAACAGGCTCCTAATAATAAGCTGCTTATTTGAGAGCTTCAAACAATCAACTTCCAGTTTTTCCTTTGGATAGTGCATTAGGCAAATGTGATTGCTTCAAAGTATATGCTGTGGAGCCAGTGATTTTTCTTGAAGTCTTGAAGTTCGTGCCCTCTGGGCCTTTTATCGGTATACTGTAATCCCCTTTGCCTGCTAAATGACTAAATACAGTCATTTGGATTTCCAGTGGAATTGCCACCTGATTATTTCAGCTTCTGTAATTGCACACACACATTCCAGAAGCATCAGGTAGTGACTGCTGTGGTTGCTAATGTTCTATAAATCACTGGAGACCTACACAGATGAATTTGACTTCTTTTCTGTGAGTGTCCTTGACTTGGTGAAGAGTCTGGCTTAGTAAAGATGTCCCAGAAGAGCCATGGCTTAAACATTCTTACAACTGGCTTTGCTACAAGTCTGTGATCCTGAATGTAGGGCTGAGACAGTAGAAAGATTGAGGACACTGAGCTAGCCAGTGTCATTCTTTCTGTGCTCACTGATGAATGGGCAATTAGGAGAACACAGTATAGTTAAACATAACCACAGGTATGACTACAAAAAAGACAACTTCTAATTCTGAAAATCACAGTGAGTCAATAGGATGCTTTTCAGGATGTCAGTGCTTTGTAGAGGAACAATACCTCCCATTGAGGATATTTTATTTTTTGAAACTGTGAAGTTGTTTTTAAAATGTGGACAGAATTACTGGTCATGTGGAACGAAAATCCCCTATTGTTTGTAGTATTGTACCAAATCTAGCACAAATGTGTTTGCAAGTGTAGCAACCTTCTGCTTTATAATGAAGTTGTTCTCCAAAAAGAAAGTAAGTTCTTTCTAGGTGGGCTTCTGTATTCTGTGATTCACGTTTGCACTGATCTGGACAACAGACATTTGCAGGAAAGCACACCACGCACAGGGTGGAGCCGTGAGCCTCTTGTTTTATGCATCATTCTCTGGTTCTCAAATGCATGTTCAAACTTAGGCAACCAGAGCCATCTTCACACAGGGCTCTGAGTCATTCTCTGCATTTTGAAATTGTTGTAGGAATGTACTAAGAATATTGATTAGGAAAGAGTTTCCAGAAAAATTTCCAGGATATCCTAGCTACTAGAGATTGGGAGAGTAGAAAAATGTTTAGGGTGAAATCCAGTGGCTGGATTAGAGACTTTCTGGAGTCGTCCAGTCCAAACTTCTCATTTACAGTCCAGGGGGTGGAGGCCCAAAGGTAAATCATTCTCCAGGGTTACCCAGCTGGACAGCAGCGAGGCAGCCTGTTTCCTAACTCTTAGTTCCAGATAGATTCTGCTACCCCTTTTCCTTCTTTTGACTAATATATCCCTTAATTAAGAACAGAGTCCACAGGGGTATTTCTCAAAATATAGTTCATGAAAAATATAGTTCATGGCCGCTACATCAGAGGCACCTCAAGAGCCTTTAAAAATGCAGATTCAGGGGTTTTACCTAGACCTACTGAATGAAACTAAGACCTGGATATTTGTACTTCCATAAGTTTCTGATTAATTCTTACATTTAGGATATTTTAGACCCCTCTACTTAGGGTCTATACATAGGCTGGTAGCATGTGGCAGAAAATGAAAGCTAACATCACTTCACCTGTCTTAAAGATATAGTTGTTCATAGTTCCATGCTGTTCTCGGTGTCATTCATACAGTGAACTGAACAGAGTTAATTATGGTTCAGAAAAAAATTATGGCTCAGAGAGTAATTACACTGCTTTTCCTGTTTTTTTTTTTTTTTTAAAATGCCTGCTTCGGGTATAACTATTAATATTAGCTCTTTTTTCCAAACTGGCAATATTTATTCACTGTATATTGCTCTGCTGTACATGGTGGAAGGTAAATGAATGTTTTGCAAGCATCCTCAAATATACATGCCCACTGCAGCCTCTGTTGATACACAGTACCTGGCCTCAAAATGTCTTGCAATGAGTCCACAAATAGTTTAGTGAGACTCCCAATTACCTCTCCACGCAGGTGATTATTACTTCTGCCATTTAAATGAAATTTCAGTGGATTGCTTATAGCAATAAATTTAGGAACATATTTATGTGATCCCTGCTTCTATTCATAGGCAGAGACTTAAAATTCCATTTCTGTTGAGGCATAACTCTGAACTGCCCTTCAGTATGAGTTTGGCTGATAATAAATAAAATAACACTATAATCTTATTTCCCCTTCGGCAGTTAACAGATATCAAAAAGCAAAATAAACATACAAAATCCGCTACCACTCCATTTGCTCAGCACATGGAAGAGTTCTCTATTTCATGGCAGACTAGTAGCTGAGCAGTTCAGTAGGATTACTGAGCTCTCACACGCGCGTTGTAGGAATGTGATGTCATGGCTCTTTGGGAGTCTCATTATGGAGTTTAACGGGCTTTGTGGTATATTTTGCAGCATGCTCTTTCTGACAAAGCATGTGTGAAAGCCTTTGACCCAAAGACCACCTGCTTACAGGAATGCCTTATCACCACCTTCCAGGAAGCCTACTTTGTTTCAGAAAGTTTTGAAGAAGCCAAAGAAAAGATGAGGTAAACTTGCTTTTATCCATCTCTAGAAAATAACTTTTTATTTTCCTGGTTCTGCTTCCTTCCTTCTGTCTATTTCTTGTATCCGTGGGCGCTGATCATGTGTCCTATTTCTGTTCATTCTGCAGGGACTTTGCAAAGTCAATTAACCGTCCTTTCTCAGTATACTTCAATCCGTACACACAGAGTATTGAAATTCTGAAAGACACCAGAAGTATTGAAAACGTGGTGCAGGACCTCCGCAGTGATTTGAACACCGTGTGCGATGCCTTAAACAAAATGAATCAATATCTAGGAATTTGATGCCTGGAGCCAGTGTCGTTGTCAGCATCTTCTTTTGGAGGTCTTAGTAGCAGTTTGGTCAATGTAATGTAACACCAATAACTTTCTGTGTCATAGCTTGGCTAGTAAGCATGCAATTCTGTATATCTATACCTACTTATAACTTAATGTGTTAATGTGTGATGTGCCATAAGGAAACCATGGCAGACAACCAGTCACTGTTTGAAAGACTATAATATGTTTAAATGTCTATGTCTGTTTGGCATTCCTGCTTAGTGCCCTTAACTGAACTGTTTCCTTAAAATTTATAAGTAGCACTCTTATGACTCAAGCTTATGACCTTGTCTTCTTTGGAGTGGAGTTTCTCTTTTGTGTCCATTAGATAAAATGAAAACAACATTGAAGTAGTTTCTATTTTCCGTAGTATCAGTGTTTTTGCCACATAATTTGAGATAAACCCAGAGTTATAGGAAACTTTCCATCACAATAACAAATGATTCAGTATTTTAACTCAGAAATGTGGTAACACAGTATTTGGAATGCTTCTAGGTTGAGTATTTATATAATGCAAGAAAAGAGAACATTTGGAATATAGGTTGCATTGACTTTGTGAAAAATAAGTTGTGGCAAGCTTCTTGGAAGTACTTTGGAAGATAATACTTGTGGTAAGAACACTAGGAAAGACCAAACAATGGGAAATAAGTCTTGTGACTATGAAGTTAATGCTGGAATAAAGTGAATTCTAATCTCAGGCGTTTGACTCATTTCTCTGATCAGAGGATAAGAATTGCATAGGGCTAAGTGATAATTTCTGATTTCAAATATATGTGGAAATTGAGTCATGGAGAAGTTAAGCGATTTCTCCAACATATCACAGTTAGTAGTGCACCAATGTTCACAGAACATTGCATTTTCATTTTGGATTGCTGGGAAGTTGCACGTAACTGTGCATGTGTAATGAGAGAAAGGAAACCAATGCCTGTCAAAACTAACATTTAGCACTAAGTAGGAATGGGTATGTGATCTTGGGTTGCCAACGGGACATATATTATTTTACCTCACACCCTTACACCAGACCAGATTTTTTGGAAACTATCAACTTTCTTGAACTTGGGCAATTTCAGGGCAAACATTTGTGATATAGCATGGATTTCTGGTGATCCTAGACATAAGAAGTAAAAATCAGGTATCTGAGTGCACAAGAAACTGCTGGATGAATGAGTTCATGTCGTCTCCTGCATCCCTCAGCACACGCAACTTGTGTTCCCTTGATTCTGTTTTTGGTAAGTAGTACAGGGTGTTTTGGAATGGGAGGAGGAAGAGACAAGAAGTAAAGAAGAAAAAGCTGACAAAGTGACTTTTAAATTAACAATTCCAAAATACTTGCTTGAGCAAATTCCAAGGATATTTCCTTAATACGAAATCACACATAATTCCAATTACACATAATTATTCATATTCTTCCATCGGGGCCCATGGTGGGTCAGAAATCTTTAGCCTAAAAACATGCAGAAGAAACATGAGAAAGAGCTCAAATACACACCAGGAAGAGGTCAAGTTAAAATGAAGGTTCAGAGGTTTGGAAATTGGTTATCTTAATTATTTACTGAGACTTTGATTTCTGAAACATTTCTTACAGCAACTGAATCCTTGAGAGGGCGTTTAATGGATAGTGTGAGTGTTCTGAAATTTAAATGCTACTCTAGGTGAAGGGGATAGTGCCTTGAAAAATTACTAGTGATAGAGAAATGGTGGGCAGGCCACATCAAATTAAAAAGATGTAGAATGATTAAGCAGTTGCTGTTTTAATAGTTTTGGAGAACTACAAATATATACTTTCTTATGTCTTGCTTTGCTAGATCTATATGACTCTGAATATTTACTTGCAAACAATAATTCAGATTAATAGTGTAGCACAATAAATCTTCAAATTTTCAGATCAAGTTGCTGAATTTTCTTGGAGAATAAAATTTGCTAAGAAATCTTCAATGTATGCCTTCTCTGTAGTTTCCATAATTTGTGTTGCTTTTAATACACATCCTATAGAATTCTTTTTTTTTCTTTCATTTGCTAAAGCAACCATAGCTAACCTTACAAGGTTAGCTCCATGAAAGGATAACTTCTTAGGTAAATACACTTATGGGAGAATTATGTTTAATTGTAAACAAATCTCCTGGACAAAAATAACATTTGAACTGTATTATGCTTGGCTTATTGTGAAATCTTCAGGTTTCTTAAATGTGAAAAAATATCTATTTTGCTTGAAAAATAGACGAGCTGTAAAAGTAGATGGGCTTTCCCACAGAGCTTAGATAGGTCTCATACAAGGAAGAGGAATTACTTGATTCTTTTTAGATCTATTCTTCTTTCACAGTGGCAGTAAGTGTGGTTTTCACCCTGTGAAACAATGAAACCACGGTTTTCATTTGTTGTGAGCATTTAACATGCAAATGCCATTACAGTTAATGTTGGGAAAAATCCTATAAAATTTAATAGCCATCATAGGAAATGTGTTGGCAGAAAAAGTCCTCCAACAGAAATAGTGCAACAAAATGATCACAGTCAGCTTCTTGTCATAACTGATACCTGCTCAATATAACCATTTGTCTCAATTATGTCTTATGACTTAAAACTAGATTAACTTGATGTAGGGGCAATTATAAGTTTAAAGACCCGTGCTCACTGTCATCTCACTGTGAGTGGTTACTCTATGTTGGCTTTGCTGCTGACTTCTATAATTAGCTAATCAGAGGTCAATGCAGAGTTCCTAGCAAAATCAAATTTCTTATCCATCACATTTTGCAAAACATAGATAAAATTTGATTAGTCCAGGTTCACATTTGAAGCCTTCTCTGTGTGTTGTGAATTAGGGTCAGGCATCTAATCTGTTTTTGAGAGATTAGGTTGATATAATGAAAGCATAATGGTTTATAAATTACATATGGGGAAATTTGACCCATTTATTTTTTAGTATATCATTGGTAAGGATCTTCAGACTTGGGTTTCTTGTGTACACTTATTTATTTATTGTGTAATTAGAAACTATACTTTATAAGGACAGCATATCTGTGTTTGTCTTGCTTGCACACAGTGAATGAGTCTGAGCTTAATGAATGTAAAATATTCCAATGTTTACCAACATGAAAAGTCTAAACAAGATGAGAAACAATGTGCTTTAAAGTGGAAGTAAACAGAAATTCAGTTTCATTTTCAAATAGAGTCATGGCTCACATCATCTCATTTTCTTCATTTGAGCAGGAAAACATTAACACCAGATGTAGTTGTCCTCCAATTCATTTGATCTAATTTTCAGCTTCTAAAGAACCAAGCACTGATGCTTATTCTCATGAACCTTGTCTTACTTATAATGAAAAAGAAAACAGCCTAGAGTTTTCTGATGTGCCTGAGTTTTGTTTTGCTTTTTTTTCCTTTAATTTTCAAAATTGTTCTCTTATTTTTGAAAATGATTCTTATGCACAATGTTGTGTTATGGGAAGAGTCAAGGGAATTTACAGTGGAAACTGCTGCTTCTAATATTAGATTTGAATGTTTCAAAATAAAGCAGTTCTGGAACATGAAATAGTGATTCTGTATCATGTTATTGGGGCTTCAAAACATTCGTTCAGTTTAGGACATTATCAAGCCCTGCTCTAGAACTTGAGGTTGTGGTAGTGGCTACCACAGAAGAGGTTTATGCCCACCTCGAATTAGCATTCCAGCGGAGGAGATATGGGCAAAAGGAAAACTCAGACTATTTTAAATGACAATGAGTTTTAAGAAGAAAGTAATTAAGATGACTTGATAAAGATTAATGGGAGGGTGAAGTAAGGTGGTTTGGATGACTTTTCTTAGATAGTATTTGACCAAGAATCATGGGATGAGAGGAATCCAGGTATGGAGAGGGCTGTGAAGAGTATTCCTGGAAAAGGTAACAGCAAGACCAAAAAGGCTGTAAGGCAGAAATATGTGATGTACCTGAGGAAGTCATAGATGGTTAGTGGGCTGGAGTAGCATGATACATGGAAGCACGGGAAGCAAGGTGAAAAGACACAGATTCCATAAGGGACCAGACTTATTCCAAATGCAAGGGAAAGTCATAAGGATGTCTCAAGGGAGGCAGTGATAAAACCCGAATTACATTTTCAGGAGCTTACTGAAGCTACTGTGCAAAAATGCATTGTAGGGAGGTGGGGAGTGGCTGGGAGAGGGCATAAGAATCCAAGCAATAAAACTAATTAGGACAATGTTAGGGATATTGCAATGTCTGATTGACTTATGCTGGAGATTATTAAAAATTATTGTAATTAAATAAATTATAAATTTAAGTGAATGGATTTGTACGAAAAGCTGAAAGACTAAGGGAAACAAGGATTCGCAGGACATGAATTGATACTCGTTTAACTGGAAAAGCAGTCATTTAATGAGATCCTGTGTGTTTTGAAAATATTTTAAACTTCTTTGATAAACAGAATCATGTTAAAGTTTCCTTGGCTAGCTCTTAAGGAAGAAAATATAGACTGGAAAGCAAATACGATTTGTTTTCCTTATGACTCAGAGATATTAATATAGGAACCAAAATGAAGTGCAAAGAAAATGAAGAAATGGCATATTGCTGGTGAATGTTATAGTGCTGATATCTAGAGTAATTCAGGATAAAAAATCCTCCTCACCTCCAGGCAAATTAAGTAGTGTTATTCACTGTTTCCTGGGCCGTTTCTGTGATAACAGGCCACATGAATGTAACGACTGCTTGCTGCCTCTCATCTCCCCAAATGCATATTTCTGATATCCTGGAAAAGACTCACTTGCTGTAATTTCTTCCTCTCTCCAAGAAGGATGGCCCTAGTGCAGCAGCTGGAAGCGTGTCTCCCCTTTTGGTAAGACTGCGGTGAGCCTGATGTTCAACCCAAGGGCATCTGTGGCTATGGTGCCTGCGAACAGCATTCTCATAATCCAGTTTGGATACAGTTTTTACAATTGAACAACAAAAACATCTGACAGATGTGGGCTGGGTAATTTGAATGGTAGATGGAACAAAGAAATCAGGTTCATTTTCTGTACAAATAATATCATTAGAAAAGCTAGCCTTCACTTTATATTTAGCTCAAGGAAGACAACATTCATGATAAAAAAAAAAGGGGATACAAATTTCCTGGTCTCCCCTTCATTCCTTGTAGATTTCTTGGGTTTGCCTTACTTTTTAGCTTGTTCATTTCCATGAAACTAGCAAGATGCTGATTCAATAGGTCTATTATTCCCAAAGGTTTGCAAACCACTGAACACATCTAATGTATAGCTTGCCCAATTTTAGCGAACAGCTAACTTCACAACGTTAATGAGGCCAATTATTGGCAAGTGAATTTGAAATGAAGGACACATTAGGTTTGCCACTATAGCAGTTATTTGTTTATCAGGATTGATTGAGGCAAACTTCCTTTTGATCATTACATCTGATTGATCCCTACACATCGCATTATGAAAGAATGAGGTTCCCAAATCAGACAGCTACTTGGAAGAAAAAATCTGCCTTGCAAGGGCAGAACATAGTCTCCTATGCATTTCTGTGCAAAAGCTTGGCCATTAAAACATAATGGATCCTAATTAGTCTCCTCACAAATCTCTAAAACTTTTTGGTCTTTCTGTTGAGCAGAACTTAAAAGAAACCTAAATTTCTCCCTTGCCCACGTATAGTCAATATCAGAGAAAATAACTTGCATGGTAATACTTACTCTGAAAATGAGTTCAGACATA